GAGAAGGAATCTGGGGTATCTGGGGCTCTGTGGAATGGCCTGGATACCCTGAGAGACCCCGGGAAAGATGAGCCCAAGAACACACTACAAAACCAGATCAAGGCTTAGAAAATAGCAGACTTGGTTTCACTTCACATTGTGCTGTGGAGTTCATTGTTTATCTTGCATTTCAATTTCCTCATTTATGAATTAGGGACAAGAGCTGGGTCCTACCTCAAGTTGATGTGCTCTGCTTTGTTTAAGCCCATGGCAGGCCTGCCTCTTTCTGAATGGAGACTGAGGAAGAGTGGATGGGGGGGGGGGGGGATGGGAGGGGGGTAGATGGGAGTAGGGAGGAGGAAACAGGAGGAGAGGAGGGAGGGAAACTGTGGTCAGGATGCAAAATAAATGAAAAACTGTTCATAAAAAATACAATAAAAATTTAAAAAGTAAAAAACATTTAGAATAATTTACTTGATATAATTATAGTAAAGAATGAAAGGAAGTGGTATCTTGAAAGAGTTAGGAGGAAAGCTCAATATATAGAAAAATGCTTAATAAATATCTGCTCCATTTCTCTGAGTTAACAGTAAGACATGAGGACGAAGTGAATGAATGTCTGTCAAGGTGTACACTTGAGGGTGGAGTTAGTGCCACTGTCTATGCTGTAATTCATGGGAGAAACTTGCCCAGGGAGAAGTGGAATGTAGCAAAATAGAGCGGGAAAAGGAAGCATGATTATGGTTAAGAATACAGGAAATGGGTGCCTTTGTGTGAGTTATTTAACTGCTTCCCTGTGGATAAAGTAGAAATAATGATACCACAGAGTGTATAGTAGACCTCTGATTCCATGATCTACTCATTTCCTTCATTTTCTGAGACCCGTCCTTTTTCTTAAGGGAGGCTCCTGCAACTATACTTATTCCACAGGAGTATTTTCCCTTAATTGCTACAGATGAAAGCATGGGAATGGGGGATTTATGAGGACTCAACCCAATCAGCTTGTTCTGCAGAAAGAAGACTCAGTAAGCAGTGCCTATAAAGTGCTTCACATGGCACTTGGGATGCAGCGAAAGCTCAGTAATTTTAAAATCCCAAATCAAGAGTATTGCCTAGTGTCAGTGCTTCAGCTGTTGACACTTTTGTCAGCAGTACCTGTAATTTGGATAGGTGGTACCAGCCCAATAGGCAGTGTGGAGGAATTTTCCTCAGCTCTTGGAGTGACAGCTCAAACCGACAAAGGGTGGCATTTCTATCTTTATAGCCCTTTCATGCCAGGGACATTTCTGAGTGAAGTATGTATTAAGAAAGCTCCTCTGGGAAAGCCCAACAATTCCAGTACTGCAAATTTTCACATCATGGTCCCACACTAGGGGGACTCAGACCCAGCATTCCTTATTTTTTACAATTCTGGCTGGGAAATAGCAAAGGAAGAATGCCATTTCTAACACACCTCATCCTATGGGCTCCCTCAGGGGCTGCAGATGCACCCCTAGTAATAGCTGTCGGCTCACCTCAGCCCTTAAAAGGCTGTGCTCATTACATGTGTCTCTATGTACTGGGCAAGTATCAGGACTTCTTTTTCTGTTTAAACTAGAAGCACTAGTTGAAAAAGAGGGAAGGGCTTAGTCCTTGAGCTCTTCGGGCTGAGAGGCTTAATAACTAATAAAGAGACAAGGAAGCCCTTTTCTGTTGAGTATTAATCTCAACAGTCAATACATTGAAGACAGAATTTTCACTCATCTATATACTTAATGTTATGAAATTATTCCTAACTTTTGTCTCTTTTAAATGTAGATTTAAAACTAATTTTGATTTGTTTTCTTTTAGACTTCATTCTAATTAAATTTTCTAAGATTTCAACCCTTCATGTCAGAAACAGCCCCCACTTTTCTCCCTCTCCCCACCCTTTCTTCAGGAAGTTTCCTGGTTTGAGGTTAGTCAACAGTGTAATTAATTCACCCCAGAGGACCTGTGTACTTTTTATATAAGTCGGAAGCTTTGACAAGGTTTGTAGAGATTCAGATACACATGCACATCCACACAATACACTCAAATGCACACCCACACTCGTGTGCATGCACCCGTACACAAACACACATACACTCACATGCAAACAAACACACATGCACACACACAAACACACTCTCATGTGCACACACATACATACACAAAATCTGTAACCAACAAGGTATCATCAAGGTCTTCTTTCAAAAGGAAAAAGCAGTTAAAACAGCTGGGTATGCTAGAAACCACATAATTAGACAAACTGAATTTAAGAGTTATGTAAGGTCTCAACTGAGCCAGTGAATGAGAAGTTGAAAGAAATGTTGTGATTGCTCCTCCAGTCCCTGGGAAGAACAGAATATGTGGATATGTGTGCTTTGGGCAAATAAAAGGCAATTACTGGCCGTTATGGAGTGTAGTTGACATTTCAAATGGGTTAAGCTGTTGAATGTCTTAAGAGAGGCTGAGCTGGGGAATAAAATGTTGTCCAGGGCTAAAAGGGAGAAACTTTAAGAATAGATGTGCTTGAAAGGAAGATCTAGAAAGTTCTGTTTTAGTGTTGTATTTTGTAAAAGACAAAAGGCAGTTTAAAAAGTATATTATGCGTAATACTCAGAAGCCTGTGATAGAGTTCACAATTTAGAGGTGAAGAAATTGAGATGTGAGAATTTTGGGGGGTACAAGAGAAGGTAGGGGGAGTGAATATAATCAAGATACATCTTAGACATGCATGAAAATGTTATAATGAAACCCATTGTGATATATAATGAGTATATAGCAATAAAAACTTCAAGAATAAAAAAGTATATTATGCAATTTTAAATTATATGTTATATAATTGTTCAACAGACTTATAAAAATTTCAGAGAATTTAAGCACCCAAGATAAGTCATATACTACAAATTTCTTTCTAACAGTGGACTTGCCACACAAGGCAGGTATGTTCTAGAAAAAATAATGAAGTTTACAGTTTAAGAAATTTTTTACTAAGAATTCTCAAACCAAGGCCTAAATCTTCAAGATAAATCCCATAGGACTTAGAAATTAAAGCTAAATTACTACTTTTCTTATTTGCAAATAATCTTGTTTGCAAATATGCCTCAAGATAGTTGAATAAAAAGTAGATATTCTCTTTTAACCATCTCCCTGAGATAAACAGACAAAAAAGTAATTGTCTTAGACAGCCCTATTTTCTTAAAGAAAAAAAATCCTGGATATTAGTTCCCAAGACATCAATTCTTATAGCATTTTGGGCCTCTCTCTTAGCATGCAATTTAAATACATATCCTTAGCAATAAAAATAACTTCTTGTCTATTGATATTGCTTAACCTCTATCAGCAGTCTTGTAATTGGCTTGATAGGGTTTATAAAATAAAGTGTTTGGGGCCTGGGGAGATGGCTCCAGTGATAAGAACATTTGCTCTGCAAGCGTGGGGATCTGTCTCTTAATCCCCAACACCCCCAAAATGTCAGGGCATGTTTGTACATTTTTAGAGCCCCAGGACTGGGAGTATGGAGATGGGTGGACACTAAGGGCTCCCTCTCTTCAAGAACCCCTAGCTGAAATGGTGAGCTTCAGATGTCTCAAGGCAATAGGTAAGAGCAATAGAGCAAGACATCTGGCATTCATTCTCCTCTGGCCCACAGATATACAGGCACAGGTTAAACACCTACACAGTCAGCAAGTATGCAACACACAAAGACTTGGAATACTTCTAATCTGTAAAGTATATGCTAAAAGTCACAAATATAAAGGTCAACAGAAAATTTGTTTCTTCAACCTTAGTCTAATCTAGTAAGAAACACATTAGAAAGTCAACACCACTGTCATGAACTTGGTGGCTGTATTTTAGTATCTATCATTTATTCTAAAGACAAGGAAAATTACTTTTGAAGAAATATAATTTGCTTATATTGACATTTGAAATACATATTTGTTTTAAAGGAACTATTTTTTGTTGGTTTGTTTGTTTTTCCATAGGTAAGACAGTGAGTTCACTTGATAATCATTATTGCAATGAAGTATAGTATTTTGGACTGATATTCAAATAATTCCATTATGTGTCATAAACATACATAGTAATGGCAAATATCCCTGATTAAGATGCTGTATCAAGAATAAGTAAAACATTCCTGATGTAAATAAAATGGAGTCTATAAAACACTCAAAACTTTGATAATAGAGTGGCATATCACAGTATATTCTCATCTGCTTTAAGATTCTTTTTAACATTTGCCCATCAGGGAACACAATTACAAATGTTGAACTTGGAGAAGATATACCCCTTCAGTCACATGCTGGTGTGTGTGCTAGGACTACAGTGACTGAAAAAGCACACGAGGAGCAGACCTGACCCCCTGGCAAAGCTCAAGGCTCTTGTCAGCTGAGCTCTATCTCCTTGTCTCACACATTCTGTGAACTTTCATAAACATCAAGGGAGAGTACAGATTTAGCTCAACATTCCCTGGATTAAATGAGAGGTCTTCATCTTTAAGGCAGTATAATAATCTATCTGACTCATAAACACATACTTGTTGTTAGTGAAGAGTCACTAAATTAAGGGACTTTAATACACTTTCCAGACTAATAACCAAAAAACTCTTCCTTCAACGATGGTTTATCCAGATAACTGTCCTAAGTAGAATACATTAACTTGGTCTGATCATTAACAAGATTATGACATTATCTCCTAGTTCACCATTCATGAAGAAATAAGACAACCAGGAAACTGAAAGAAATGAAGGTTTGGATTAATAGCTATTAATGATTTTAAATCATAGATCAGTTTGTATACTTTCCACTTTAGTTTCTACCAAACTGAATCATTCCAGAAATAGGCAGATATTTCATCTTGTGCTAAGAGCAAAGAGTTGTTAGGTTTGAGCTTACAAAACCTTCCTCCAAACTTGAATATTTATAGACAGAGTTTGTGGTTTATAAACTGAACTCAGTGTCATCTCATCAGAGGCAGATGAGGCATGACAAAAACACACAAAGAATGTAGAGACTTACCGTATCTCGTTGCCTGGTATCTTTCCCCGATATTATGAGGAAGTAGTTCCAGGTCAGGAGTAACAATAGCAAAAGTGGTATCATATAGAGCTCAAAGTTCCAGACAACAAAGAGGAAGAGCTGGAGGAGAGAAAAAAGAGAAAAAAAACAAAACAGAGTTAATTCTGATTTTCCTTAGTGTACTGTCACCCCCACACCCCCACACCCCCACTGGTACATGCTCCAGAGCAGGAAGATTCTTCTGGAAAACAAAGCCTGAAAAACTTGGTAGGCATTTTGCTAAAAGCACAACTCACCCCTAGTAATTTATCCCAGCACTTGGGAGGCAGAGACAGAGGCAGACGGATCTCTGTGAGTTCGAGGACAGCCTGGTCTACAGAGGGGATTCCAGGACAGCCTCCAAAACAATACAGAAAAATCCTATATTGAACCCCCCCAAAAAAAAGAAAGAAAGAAAGAAAAAGAAAAGAAAGAAATTCATTGCTATGGTTTTTGTTTTGTTTAATTTCTGTGCAGGAAAACTTGATGACATTATACTGTTGAAGGCAATTTTAATTTTCTTCCTGGAGTGAAATTACAGTTATATTAGGTGAAATAAGGTTTTGGTTTTTTTTTGTTGTTGTTGTTGTTGTTGTTGTTGCAGTTTTGTTTATTCTTTCAGTTAAAAGAACTTCACTGAGAATGGATAAAGAAAATGTGATACATTTACACAATGGAGTACTACTCAGCAGTAAGAAACAATGACATCCTAAAATATGCAGGCAAATGGACAGAACTAGAAAAAAACATCCTGAGTGAGGTAACCTCAAACCAGAAAGACAAATATAGTATATACTCACTCATAAGTGGATACCAGACAAAACAAAAGATACCCAGCCTACAATCCACAACCCCAGAGAAGCTAGAACCCTCTTTCAGAAACAGATGGAAGCAGATGCAAGATGCAGAAATCCACAACTAACCACTGGGCCAAGCTCCTGGAATACAATCAAAGTGAGGGAGGAGCAATAATATGAACAAAAGAGTCAAGATCATGATGGGGAAAACCACAGAATCAGTTGACCTGAGCTAGTGAGAGATCACTGACTCAGGTCTGACAAATGGGGAACCTACATAAGCCTGAACTAGACTCCCTTAATATAGATGACGATGGTGTGACTGGGATAATATATGAAGCCATTGGCAGTGGGTCCAAGATCTAACTCTAATGCACAAACTGACTTAGTGGAGCCCATTCTTTATGGAGAGACACCTTACTCTGCCTAGACACAGGGGTATGGGGGTAGAGGTACCTTGGTCCTGCCTCAACTAGATGATGGGACAGACTACTGACTTCCTAGGGGAGGCCTTACCCTCTCTGAGGAGCAGATGGGAGGAGGTGAACAGGTGGAGAAGAGGAAGGGGGAACTAGGATTAGAATGTAAAACATAAATGAATAAAAACAAAAAGTAGCCCACCCCCCCAATAAAAAGAGCTTCACAGTATTGTCAGAATAGCTTGGTCTTCTGTCTGTCTTAATAACAAAGAATGAATCCTCGTTTAGCATCAGGGACATTCTGGTCCCAAATGTTACTTGGATAATATAATAGAACAAGCATAATAGGCAGATGAAAACACCATGTCTGTACCACAGAACCTCAAAGATCGCACATTATGAAGAAAACAAAACAACAACAACAAAAAAAAATGCTGCTTCCAACAAGTGTTAGAAGAAATTGGCTTACCATTCAGTATTACACAGAGAGCCAGATGTTTGCAAATGAACACGAAGAACAATTTTGTCAAAGGAAATTTTAACATGCTCATTTGTATTGGTTTTAGCACCACCTATTTGAATAAACTATTTTTAATTGTAAGACAAATGTCAGAGTAAGAACTGGGGATGACCGAGGGAGCCAATTTATGCATATTTACTTGGAAAACAACAGGATTTGAGACCTACATTGTGACTCTCTCACCTCTTCACCAGGTGTACTCCCAGGTAGATCATCTAAGTTCTCTGGCTCTGTGACTCCTGCTATTAGACTATGGTCACCTTAAATAAGTTGGGACTAAGAGCAGAATTCCTACCTGACCTCAGTGTCAAGGAGCTGTATAACCTTTCTATAACTTCTATATCATGCATTTTAATTTCTTCCTCTATAAAATGGGGACAATGAGTTTCAAAAACTGCGTAATTAACACAGTGCTCGGGCTGTGGTCCATGCAAGTGATGCTCTTAAAGTTTACTAATTATTGATTGGAAATCACAACATTGCCTGCCTAGTAAGCTTTGGTCGAACAGTACCATAAGTGGGAACTTCAGAGTAACGTACATCTTGCATTTTGTAGACCAGGAGAGTTAGGGGAAGGGTCATAAGGACACTAATGTGTAAGCAGAAGCTAGGACAAATCTCAGCAAGGAAAGGGGAGATGGGTGTGAACTGCCACCCCTAGTTGTTGAGTATTGGCTACTGTCAGCTGCTGGGAGAGGGAGAGCCAGTTTGCTCTAAGAGTGCAGCTTCTGGTAAGTCAGACCCTGTCCAGTGAAAGACCACACTTTGGGAAGCAGAAATGAGTCTTACAAGTTTTTTCTTTTTTCAGAATAAGAAGTTGGGAGAGTGGGCAGACGTATCTAGGAAGAGCTTCGGAGGGAGGGTAAATATGATCAAAACATACTGTGTGATAACCTCAGAAAACTGTCAACAATTTAAATATTTTGAGAAATGTGTTTTTACTAGGTTTCTGATATTCATAACTGAAATGTCAAATACCTCAATCTATGAAATGGGTGATTTTTTTTATTTCCAATAGAAATGTAGGAAGATTTCTAGAAAACAATGTCCCATTTAACTTTTGAAATTTATATGATGTGTACAAAGATTATATGATGTGTAATTGATATTTCGGATTATTAAATGTGCTTTTGTAAACATAACTCTTCTTTCAGGAAGTAAGCCGAGATTAAATTGACAGGCAACAACTACATGTAAAGGGGAAATTACTTTTGAATAGAGCCATTAAATATTGATACAATTATTGTACCATTCAGGTAATCACTAGGATGCAAGCCCCTGGAGAACAGACACCTTCTTTTTGTTCACTGCTTTACATCTGGAGCTTAGAAAATGACTGGGGCAGAGTAAGTATTTAGAGTAAATGGACCCAAGGCCCTGGCAAATTATTCAGCAGTTTAACTATTTGTATTAATAAAAGTGCTATAAAAAAACCACTGCCAGAAACTAGCTGACTTGAGAAAAACACAGCCAGAATTATGAAGTGAGATGCTTCTAGAATTTTCTCTGCTTGGTTAATATGCCCTTTAGCACTTTTCCCAGAGAGGACCCCCCCCCCCACTCGCCTGTTCTGCTGTCCTGTTGTGCTGCCATGGGAACCCATTCTTTCCCTTTGGCCTTTCTCATATGTCTGCATGCTCAGAGAGCATTGAAGAACAAGGCAGTGGTGGCACATGCCTTTAGCCCCAGAACTCAGAGAGCATTCACTCCCTTCAGTGGGTTCTGCTAGCATGGATGGGATTCAGATGATTTCATTGCTAAATATGATATGGTGGGATAACGTCACCCTGCTGTGAAGGGATATTCTGCTTTGACATGTCTGATCATTGATGTTAGACTGACTGCATTGCTGTTTGCATCTTTCATCACCATGGTAGTCTTTCAAAATTGCCAGTAGCTTCAAGCATTGCTAATAAGATGAACTTTGAGTATATATTCAACTGTAAATATCATTCTCCTCTCACAACCTTAGCTCATCAGTTGCTCTCCTGAAATGTAGCACTCCAAACCAACACAACATTTCTCGTGCATTTATATGGAATTCAAAGTGCCCCATGTACACAGTTAACAGAGCATGGATCAGGGGAAGACAGGGAAAAGAGAAATCAAGGAAGAAATTATATTTGCTTTAGAGATGCTTGAAATGGATGGATCAGCTTCTTTCTTACTGTCTGTGCATTAGGAAGCTGCTCCTGGTGGAAGTGAGCAAGCAGCTCCTACATTTTAAAAGAAAGCATATTGAAAAGAAAGAAAATAGTAGAATTTTGGATGAACTCCAGATGAAAAATGTTAAGTTTATCTTTTTCAATATTTAAATAACATAAAATCTCAAAAAATATTGAACATAGCCCAACAATAAAAAGTTTTAAAACTTTGACCAAGTGTTCAGAAATAGGGACAAAAGCTTTCCTGACTCAGGTTGCTAAGAATCAATGAGAAGACATCAGGTACTAGAGTATCACCTGTGATCCTGGTTTTTGCTAGTCTGTGAAGGATACCTTGAAGAAAGGGCCTAGAGTAGAAGAACCCTTTTTAGCTCATTCTCTCTATATTAGATCTCCCTCCATCCTCCCTGGGACCCCTGCACAGACTGAGCCACTGTTCCTTCCTGTGAAAGTCTGAGATTATACAAAAGGCCAGGCTTTCGGTGTCCCAGCAGGTAGTAGGAAAAATCTTTGCTTCTGGGAAAACTCAAAGCCAACTAATCCTGGCTATGTCCTTGGTCATGACTACACTTCTTCATAGGTTTGGGAGTGTGCAAAAGCAATGCAGTAATTAGATAAAAGAAGAAATTAAGGAATAAAAATACATCCCCAACACACACACACACACACACACACACACACACACACACACACACACAGACGCACGCATGCATGCATGCACATATACACACACACTAACTACAAATATAAGCCATAAGGTGTTGGATGTGTTCTGATCTCACTCTAAAACTGCCTTTTCCTGCATGGAACACAGAAAGAGGACCAAAGAATCCTAGAATGTTTCAATATTAATTGCATCAGGCTAAAAGGGATTTATGCAGTATTCAATTTTATTCAATTCCATCACCTTGGAATACTTTCCCTATTCTCTTCCTTCATCACCGAGTCTGTAGCTTTTCCTCTCATGCCCAGATCTTAGTTCCTGCTTTTTAATTTGGTCTTTTGGCATTTCACCATCATAGAATTCATGTCTCCATTTACATACAGAAAAACAACTCTACATTAGCTATCCCTTCTCATTTGAGACTGAACATGCTTCAAATATTTGATTTTCTTTGTAAACTTTAAGATAGATGTTGTGATTTATAACTAGAATTCCACAGTAGAGTCTTAATGAGATGCTAGTCAAAGTGGTAACAGCACTTTTGATCTCCACCAGTAGAAAGAACACTAAATCCCAGCACGGTGGGTCATGGCTACAATTTTAGTACATGGAAGGTTGAGGCAGGTGGGTTAGGAGTTGAAGGTCATTCTCAAGTTACATAGCAAGTTGGAGGCTAGCCTGGATTACATGAGAACCTACCTCAAAAAGTTAACAAACTAACAAACTGAGAATTCTGTGTATTATGCTGTATGTTAGAAGGATGCCAGAATCTCTCTTCTAACTGGTCTTGTATGGTCAGCTATGATTACCATATTCCTTGAGGAGCTGTTGTAGTGAGATGAAATGGAAAGAACATTAATGTTCACATCAGACTAAAGAGCACTCAAGATCCCTAGTCTCCGGTGCTATGGCCTTGGACAGCTTTGGATTTCTTTAAGTTTTCTCATCTGAAAAGTAGAAATTTACTTTGCAGATTTGAAATAGAAATAGTCTAATACTTGGCACCTAAAGGTGTTCAGCAAGCAGAACATATCAACTCTTATTACACATCAAGTTTTGGTCCTTCTTGAAGCTTGCCATATTTCCTATGCTACCCAGTGTTAACTATGGCTTCAAGAGTAAGAGCTATGAAGAAGCCATGGCAGTGTCATTATGAGTAACATTTTTAGTGCTTTTACGTTTAATTTGTGCTGATCGTGTGCAGCAATGTCCTTAATTTGTCCTATCTCCTTGTACCTATGACTTCTGTAATACTCTTTCACACCAAGACATGAACGTAACATATGATTTCTTATGGTTCATAACAGAGTATCAAAATAGAAGCCTAAAAAATCACATGGCATCATCACCTTCATCACCTCAACTGAAAGTCAGACCGAAGAGCTAACTGAAGATGCATCAGTGTGTGCACAGCCACGTACAGAAGAAATGCCCAACTGTGCATGATCCATGTGGTGACCTCAAAATGTTGCCTGATGACTTGTAGTTGCTTTGAGTTTGGAATTCTGGCACCATGTGTGAACAGCTAAAGCAAACTGATATGTAAGTCATCCCTCTCTGAGGAGACAATGTATTATGGGTAAAATGTGACATTCAACAGACATCCAAAGAAGGGGCTTTAGTTCCATTTTTGACATTTTGCATTATAGGATCTTGAACAAGTCAGTTACTGTCTCTCAGTTTATATTTGCCTATTTCATAAGATAGCTATGGGGAGCAAATGAGGCAATATATGTGTGATGGTTGACCTTGATTGTCACCTGACATGACTCAGAGCACCTAGAAGCACAGGATGTGACTGTGAGCGAATTTGAGAGGTTTGTATGAGGTAGGAAGACTCACTCTGAATGTGGAAGACACTCTCCTATGGGCTGGGGCCCTGTATTAAATCAAAAGGAGAAAGTGCATGGAGCATCAGCATTCATTTCTCTCTGCATCTGGACTTCAGACACAGTGTTACCACTGCTGCCAGGCATTCCCCATTACAAATGACAAACCTGTCCCTTTAAACTGTTAGTTGAAACAAACTCTTCCCTATCTTGTCTAAAAAAGAAAGTCACTTACTACAGTGTGTAATGGAGCCTTATGACTAAACGCTATATGAAGGCAAGTGCTATCCACTGATTCTGCTTGGCGCTTATCCTAAATTATGCCTGAGAATCAAACTAAATAAGGAAAACCCACCCTCACCAATGTAGACAGGCATTAGTCACTACATTAAGGACGTTAATTTTTAAAAAGGAACTTGATCTCTATTCTCTGTCTCTCTGTCTCTTGTGTATTACATGGACAACATAAACAAATCCCGTAAGTGGCCATGATAACTGCTAAGGGGTGATTGGTTGAGTGGTTGGAGAAGATGGGTAGTGTTCCTTGGAGGTCGTGTATGTTGTGTGGGAGGTGTTTATTGAGGGAATCTGTATTATACAGAGATATTGCAGTTAAAATTTTTACTAGTAATTTCAACAAGAAAAATCTAGACACTTGATTTTTTTTATAGTAAATCACATAGCATACATTGCCCATTCTGTGAATTAGAGAGTAAAAACAAATAGGTTTTAAATACTTGTGGTGTGTGTGTGTGTGTGTGTGTGTGTGTATGTGTGTGTGTGTACATGAATGTGTGGAGGTTAAAGGACAGCTTGGGGAAAATGGGAAATGGTTCCCTCCTACCATGAGGTTTTTGGGGATGGGAATTGGGACATCAGGCTTGGCAGCAAGTTCCTTTACCTGATTAGCTATATTGCTAGCCTAAAAGTTTTAACACTTTTTTAACAACCTAATGCCACTTTTACAAAAGAGACCTTGGTTTGCAGAGTTTTATGAATATCAAATTATGTCTTTGATGTATTTTCATTTGTAAATTCAAGTATCATTTATCAAAATCCTTGTTTCCAGACTACAGTATTAGCATGACCATCTCTAGGGGTGATTTGAGACAGATTTTGGAAGCATTCTAAACCTTAATCATAAATATTCAGAATGGATTTTTAATTTACAAAAAGAAAAATAACATAATTTGTCCTAACAGGTAGGTTGTATGATGTTGTGTGGAATGAACCCTAGGAGAGATGCCATAAGATGCCAGGAGTTGAAGGTTGCAAAGACTACACTTCAGAAAGACCCTTTTACGAAAGCAGAAACCAAGGCTCAGGCCTTTGAGGCCTGACAAAAGGCACTGACTCCCAATCCATCACTTTTCCCATAAAGCTTACGGACTGAGGGGTGGAGTCCTGTGGCAAGGCTGGGGCTTTGAAGACATGAGTCATTCGGTGTGGAGACTTGCTATGTACCACTCCTTCTTCCTGCTTTGTTCTGGGATCACTCTTTTTTGAATCAGCATGAAGAAAGAGAATGGCAGCTCTTAGGCGTTGTGGCAAAGGTTTGGTAAGGCAAACAGGTCAAAAATTAATGGTGGGAATGAGGTTTCTGAGGTGTGTTTCACTCTCTTCTTTCTTCCCTCTCTTTTTATGGCTTTTAATAATCAAACGTTGGCTGTTCACAATGTTTCTATTAAATGGGTTTTCGTCTATCCAAAATGTTTAGAGGAGGTTAGCAAGGTGGCTGCAATGGCAAAGAATGGAAACTGAATGATCCAATTACATTTTTACAGACAAAAAGACCCACTTTTCCACATGAAGATTAAACAAACAAAAAAGTCTGTCCTACTGAAATCCCAGTTAAAGGCAGGTTAAAGCGTCACCCTTATTAAACAAGGCAAATTATATCAAGTCAAGTGAATGATGCAGAATATTAAGATTTTATAGCAACACTATTTCTACAGAAGGCTTGATTTGCCTGACTTTTATTTCTTTGAGCATGAGAGTCTAAGAGTCCCAGGCAGGACCAAGCCATTCACACCATGCTCTCGATTGATTCCTGCATTGAAGTGCAGTGGGAGACGTGTGCATTCAGTGACCACTCGGTGCCACACACGGCAGCACCCCTGGGGAGCCTACTTCAAAAAATCATTTAAGTTGGAATATTGAATATCCTATTCTTTTGCAAGCTACAGTATATTTTAAAAAGAAATCTCATCCAAAATGATTAACACTTCCTACTGTTCGGGAAGAAAGCCTGCCCTTTCAGACTAACAGCTGTGGATCATTAGCTCTCTAGTGATGAGATGTGTTTGATGAGTATTTTTCTTTCTAATTAAGAGATGAGATCCTTTATCTGACTATCTCTTCAGAAAAAGTGAGGAAAATAATTCTGCCTATATGGAAAGGCCATCTCCTACAAAACAATTAATTATTTCAGGTTCCTTCTAGAAAATCCTTTTCCTCCCCAATTTCAATTCCTTTCCCCCTGAACTTAACACACATTTCCACTCTAGCCTTTACAGTATTAACCCATTTTTACCCAATCTTCATCTTATAATGTTTTCTGGTTTGTCTCATCACTCAAAAATGTTCATTTCCAGTAAAACAGAGGGCAGAAATATGAACAAAATGCCTATATGATTATGAGGATTAACATGGAACAATTGTTTTGGTTTTAACAGGAACATTTGGCACAAGAATATTCCCTAAAGTGAGAGGGGCCTCAGAAAAGATGAATACTAGTATTTTTGAGGCAATGATAAAAGAGCCTCAATTTTCTTAGCCATGCATTTAAATAGACTTTAAAACTGATAATGATAATAAGCCATTAAAAGGAAGTCTTCATGTCTACCAGCAGAACTGTACTTTAACATGGAAGCTGCAGAGTGGATACAAATACTTTGTTCTAAAATACTTTGCTTTTCCTCTTGAAATGATTTTCAACAGATGTGCAAGGGGTAGAATTCCCAGTTTAGAAACTCTCCTGAAAGTGTACAAGAAGCTGGAAAGTGGCACCATTTATGAGCTGGCCCATCAGTTGCCTCCTTCAGCTCTTGCAATAAGAAAAGAGGAAAGGAAGGAAGGAGATCTGACTTTCAAAACTTTGGTCTCTGGATAATGCTTTCTTTGGCTAGGGCATCTTTAGAAACATGTAGGTCGATTTTGGTTGTCAATGAGTAGTGTAGGAAAGGGAAATAGTATAATGGGTGAGGCAATCCTGTGGATCACTGGGAAAATGGTAGGAAATTCCCACCCATTGAAGAATCTTCCTGCCCCAAATCCCCAAATGCTGATAGCATTCCTTATAGAGAAACATTGACAGTCATTGTATGGACATGTATATAGTCTCTCTCTCTCTCTCTCTCTCTCTCTCTCTCTCTCTCTCTCTCTCTCTCTCTCTCTCTCTCTTTCTGTGTGTGTGTGTGTGTGTGTGTGTGTGTGTGTGTGTTTCACTCTGGGACTCATAGTTAATGATGGTTTCAAGCTATGTGAAGTAATGAACACCATTTCACTGTTTTTACTTTTTATTTGTGGTGACCATGTGTAGTAACGTCTTCGTGCTGGTTTAGTTCCAAGATGATGGCATGACTTATGACTTCAGATTGAAGGATTGAGAATAAGTCTTAGTGGAGAAAAATTGTGCCCATTCATCCGCACCTGCACAATATGTTTTCTTTACCTGCAGTGTTTCGTTATTAAAATGCTCAGAGAAGAATCAGAGTGAATCCCCAAGGCTAATTTGCTGTCTTTTGAGTTAAGTCCAGCCCTATCCCTTCACCATAGTCTTCTATTACTTTTCCTTCTAAGAAAAGGGCAGTTTTGTCTTAAGTGGCCAGACTGAGACATACTTGTCTAAGGTCTGTATTTCCTGTCAGCTCCATTAGAGCTTCCTGCATGGCCTCCGTTTATCAAGGCAGACAACATAGGCAAAGGGAGTCTGGTATAACTGTAGCCTTTCTGCAGTGGCCTGAAGGCATGAGGCACTGCCCTTTTGAAGAGAAGCTTTGTTTTAGTTGGGTAATTCTGTGACTTGATAGAAACTGGAGATAGGCGATTACAGCATACCTACAGAATCCTCTCCACCATCCTCTGCTGCTTTCTGTGTACATAGGGGACCTCAGTTTGTAATAAAAGAGCTCCATGTGGAACTGCATCCTTCTCACCATTAGAAAGAGAACTGGTTTATTCTTAGTCTCAACCTGACATCATACTAATGAGACTTCTGTTGTTTTGGATAGCATGGATATTTTACATGTTTGGAGAAAGACTCCCAAGTGCACTATCTACAATATTTCTAATACTAGGCCAAATCTGTCAGGAGAGCAAGCTATCTCAGTTCTATTACAAGTGGAAAAGAAAGATGGAATTTTGTTGTCTTGTTGATAAACTTACATTAAAATGTATATACTGTAATTTGGTTTGCTTTTATAGATAGTGGTAGAAAAATGATGCTTGTTTAGATTTAATTTTAATATTTAGATACACATGTCAGAAAGCTCCAATTGCTGATTTTGTGAAATTGAGCACTGAGCCTTTGGCACTCCTATCTAAAACTTAAAGTCCACAGTCTTAATATGTCCATGATCTTTCAAAAGTATACCCTGACTCCATCTATTAAAGAGGCAAGCATGACATCTGGATAGGACACATCTGAAGAGGAGACACATACGAACCACAGAAGCAGGACCCAAGAAATCTCCAGGGCAACCCCAGAGACAGTGCTATCAACTCATGGGAGCACAATCACACAGATTTCTGGGTGGAGAGATTACCAATTGAAGTCTGAATAAGATTTCCCTGGTTGTTATTGAGATTTTTTTCTTTCCAGCTTGCAAGTTGGACTGATATCTTGTGTCTTTTTTTTTTTTTTTGTCAAAATCAGGCATAAAAAGCTCTGGATTTCCTTTGAGAATGCCAACAACTCTAAAAGGAAAGCCCAGAGTAAGTCCAGTCTGAACATCACACCAACCACATATCCATAACCGATAGAGTTTGAGTTTAATGTTGATCATATTATGCATGTAGAACAAAAGTAACAAAGGCTTAGAGTTGCTTGGGGAGTAGTGATTCTTGGAAATCCCTTTCACAAGATTTAATCCTTCAGCTACTGGTTTTAAGGTCCGCTACAACATCAAATACAGTCATTTTCATCCTTGTTAATCATAGAAACTTGGTACTCAAAACCAGATGTCAGGAAAAGTATTCTTTGGTATCCCAGATAACATATGCACATTTTTTAAAAACATGGAAAACTAAGAAGATATGCACTTATTTCACCCGTGGGTGAAATAAAGGTACAATCACTCCAAACACTGAAACAAATGGAGAATCAGTGTTAAAAAACTGTTGGCTTTACTTAAGAATAGTTACATCTGGTACATCTGGAATATTCTTTGTCTGTGCTTTGGAGACACTCATGGGTTCAGGAGCTAGGGCATAGCACAGATCAATGCACATTGGGACGATTAGTCTCCTTAAGTATTTCCTGTAGTTGTCCCTTTATACCTCCAATGCCAGGGAAACAACTGTCATTTTCATCCTAGGTCTTATCTTGTAAGTTCTTGACCTACTAGCAGATAAAGTGATTGTTTTCAATGTGAGTATAGATTTAAGGATAATCTCTAGTTTACCTGCTCTCTGTTTTCAAGGTCTCAGCAGTGCTATGAAGATTCATAGAACTCAATTACGCACAATTATCTTCTAAAGTTTTACAGGAGTGAGTCTACTACCATCACCGTTGGTGAAGCAGGTTGTTGGTCAATTCCCATTCTTGTGTATGTAAATGCTGTGCCTAGGTACGTACATTCTACACCAATGTTTGCTGATGTACAAAATGTTCAATCTATCCTAAGCTCAAAATTTGGCTTTAAAGCTATCTCCGTCATGAACAGGTACAATATTTAAGGCAACAGCTGGCACTTCAGTTGCTCATGGGAGGAAACTCCCTCTGTTCTATAGGCAGTGCCAGGAAATAGGATACTATGCTGTCTAAGGAGCCAAATGAATGTTCCTGAAGTCAGTGTTACACTTTACTTTAAAAATTAGACCTGCAGTCTTTATGTCCTCATTTCTAACTCACTGAGCAGGAATGCCTCTACAATAGCAGACGATCACTGTGGGGCTTCCTTCCAGGAGCCACTTGCAAAGGGGAGCACCCTGCCAAGTTTTGTGATGCTCCGTACCATTCTGACTCATTTCCACTCAAATGATTTCACTCAGATTTATTCAGCTTATCATGACTATCTTTCCTACGCTACTTATTTCTGGTCTCTCTTTTAATCCTTCATGATATAACCTGCAGCTATTGTTGATTATTCATTGTCCAAACTTAATGTCTTCATTTTACTCTTAAAATTACACAGCCAAAGTCAGAAACAAGGTTTTTTTAAATACCCAAACTCTTAAATAGATTTAAGACCTAATAATATCACATATTTCAGCTATCTTACCAGCTTCTAAAGCTTCATCTCCCATTCTGTCTTATAATTTTCTAATTTTCTCCT